AACAGGAGTCCTTCAATAACCACTAAAGCTTTGTTTGTGTTCTTTAAAAGATTATCTCCATGTCAGAATGATTCCTGTTCTTTCAATATTGCCAACTATTGGCAAAAGAAACTTCTCTTAAAAGTGTATACCATGGGTTGGAAAACTAAGACCCGCGGGCAGGATCAGAACCAATTGCCTTCTGGAGTTTATCTGGCAACATTCATGCATATTTGATAAGTTGGTAGAAATATAAAGCTTCTATTCCGTTATGGAATATATTTCATGCCATTCATTCTGACTTTCTATGATTGTTATTCGATTTTCTTGCAATTTTATTCCTCCTGCCTTTCGGCACAGATAGGGTGAACCTACAGAATCAACAGCTTGCTGCAATCAACCCTTTGGGACTTCCTTCTCTATTCCTTCTCTATTTCCCTTTTAAGGAAAGGGCTGGTGCTGTGATGTTTTTTATTGTGATCTTTCATAGGTATAAGAAGGATATGGACAACAGAGAACAGTGACCAAGATGATCAAGGGTCTGGGAATCAAGACTTATGAGGAACAGCTGAAGGAGTTAGAGGGGGGAAGAGGAGTCTGAAAGGAGATATGATAGTCATATTCCAGTATCCAAAGGGCTGCCAGATGGAAGATGAAGCAAGCTTGTTTTCTCCTGCTCTGGAAGCTAGGACCTGAACCAATGTATTCAAGTTACAAAAAAAGGAGATTCTGACTAAACACCAGGAATAACTTTCTGAGAGTAAGAGCTGTTTAACCGTGGAGTAGACTTCGAAGGAAATAACACCAACAGTAAGATCTAAAGTTTGGATGTTTAAAAAAGGCCCATTTTCTCATAGAAATGAACTGAATGGTTTTTCCCCTTTAAGGGAATGAAGGTAACTGTGTACTACGTATTCACCATGCACGCCAATTACTTGATTAATATATTTTCTATAACACATATATCAGCCATACAGCAAACTGTCCTATTTAGAGGAGTAGCAAGATATAAACGTACATAATTTGATGAAAAAGTGTTTCTTTCGGAGGGGGGTGTCTTTAGGAATTGACTTTAAAAAATAATGTCTATTTAGGAAAGTCAATATACTATTAAATAATTAGAAAGGGTTTGTTTATTTTTGGGTGTTTACATCCATTCAAATCTTACAAATCAAAACAATAGTGCAGAATACTAATTGCGTTGCAACATGGTGGAAAAACCCAGAAGCACTTTCTTTTATTGATTTGTTTAGCTCAGAAATAATTAAGTTTTATGCAACTGATATAACTCCTGCCAAGTCACACATTTTTTGTCCACAATACTATTTTAATTATTCAATAAAAACATGGGGAAGTAGTTTTTAATTTCTCACATAAACGGAAAATACTTTATTTCAATTCATAGGCTTGGCGAATTTATTTCTACAATCAAGGATTGTGTCTCTTCGTTGCTTTTCTGCTGGTTTATGGGCCCACCTGTGTTGCCCCTGGGGACTGTGCAAAGCAGCACAGAAAGAATTCTAAATGGCAGAATGTTGTTATGGAGGCACCCTCGTGGCTTAGCAGTTTGCTGCATAAAACAGAGTTTGACTCCCTTAATGAAAACATGAAAATTCAAGGAAGTCACTCTAAAAAAAAAAGTGAGTATTTTCAATAACTGATTTTCTAAGGTACTTTCACTCTCTGCAGGTAAGTTTTGTAGAAATAAAAAATAACAACATGTGCCGTTCCTTTTAAACGATTATATCTACAACTACTTTTTCAAGGATGCAATGAGAAAGAAAATATAAGATTCAGAAACTTGCAATAATTCCACCCAGTATTAAGAAAACAGAGGAACTCTTTCGTAAGGTAAGGAGGAAAGTATCTGTAAAAGAGGCATAAAAAGGAGGTACAATTGCCCGCACGCGCACACACACACACACACGCTTCCTAGAGGCTTGTATTACTTGTGTAGTTTTACAAAAATGCAGTGGAAACTGAAACATACAAATATTCACAACACGCAAGTAGTATGTCATGGACTGGTTGGATGCAAAGGAATGGTGGGAGAAACCACTAAGGGAAGAAGACTCAGAGCCTGGGGAGTTATGGTGGAGCAACAATAGGTGGTCAGAGGTGGAGAACTGGGAAGAGGAGGGGCTGGAAGCTGAGGGTGTAACAGGGTTTAGTGAGCTGGGAGAGTCTGTGGCAGAAAGAAGACCAGAATCAGAGGCAGAAACTGAAGCAAGGGAGGAGGGAGGCAATGAGGCAGAGAGGAATCAGGCTGGTGAAAAGTCATGGGTGTCCCCTTCCCCTGCTGTGACAAGCTCGCCTGTCCCCTAGTCTCCCAGAACAGAAGAGACTTGAAAAAGAGAGATGTGCAAACACAGTCTCTGACTGGGGGAAAAAAAACCTGTAGAGGAGGGGACTAAGGTAGCTGTGGGGAGGCTTCAGTCTCAGAAACTGCTTCATGGGGGCAGGACCTACTGGAGATGAGTTGCTGTGCCAATAATAATAATAATAATAATAATAATAATAATAATAATAATGGGTGGCTTCCAACAAAAGATTTAAAAAATCAGCCATTAAAAACTTCAGATGTCTTCTAAACGTCAGATAGTTGTTTACTTCTTTGACATCTGGTGGGAGGGCGTTCCACAGGGTGGATGCCACTACCGAGAAGGCCCTCTGCATGGTTCCCTGTAACCGGGCTTCTCACAGTGAGGGAACCGCCAGAAGGTCCTCGGAGCTGGACCTCAGTGTCTGGGCAGAACGATGGGGGTGGAGACGCTCCTTCAGGTATACTGCGCCGAGGCCGTTTAGGGCTTTAAAGGTCAGCACCAACACTTTGAATTGGGCTTGGAAACATACTGGGAGCTAATATTGGTCCTTCAAGACCGGTGTTATATGGCCTCGGTGGCCGCTCCCAGTCACCACTTTAGCTGCCACATTTTGGATTATTTGTAGTTTCTGGGTCACCTTCAAAGGTAGCCCCACGCAGAGTGTTGCAGTAGTCCAAGCGGGAGAAAACTGGAGCATGCACCGCACTGGCGAGACAGTCCGTGGGCAGGTAGGGTCTCAGCCTGCGTATCAGATGGAGCTGGTAGACAGCTGCCCCGGACACAGAATTGACCTGCACCTCTGTGTGCAGCTGTGAGTCCAAAATGACTCCCAGGCTGCGCACCTGGTCCTTCAGGAGCACAGTTATCCCATTCAGGACCAGGGAGTCCTCCACACCCACCCGCCTCCTGTCCCCCAAAAACAGTACTTCTGTCTTGGCAGGATTTAACCTCAATCTGTTAGCCACATCCATCCTCCAACCTGACACGCCTGTGATGTATTAGGCCTGACACGCTTGCATGGATCGTGTTTCTGCTCATAGAGAGTTAACACCAGCTTTCATGGTGTGATTTACTGCTGGCTCGCCTCTGATATAGTAAGTAGGCAGGCCATAGCTTGGTGGTTGACTACGAACACATGTACGCAGAAAAGGTCCCAGGTTCTATCCCTGGCACTGAAAGAACGCAGGACTTTAGATGGTTGGGGTCATGGGACAGCCGTGTGTGTGCACTGGTGTCTTTGCAGAGAGGAAGAGGTACTATTCACGTTCTAATTTTGGGAGGTGCCTTGAACTAGATGGGCCAATGGATTTGACTCAGCATAAGTCAGCTTCCTTCGCAAATGCATTCTGAACAGATGTCTGAGAAGCTTCCGCGGCAGAAACAGAACATGTTGTAGAATTCTATGTAAGGATTTTGAATATTCATGGAGAAATTAGTTGTTGCCACACAACCTAAAAATAAAAATTTGGAGTTTTTCTTCCTTACTCATTTACAGAAGGTCAATTAAAATATTTCCATTATGGGGACTCTATGGTGTCATTTTGAGAAGCCAATCCTCACTGCAAAGCATTCTGATTCATCGCATTCTTAAAATATGACAGGGCTGAATAATCTATTATTGTCTCTTTTGCCAAGTCTATTATCACTGAAGTCTGGTTTTGTTGTTGTTTAGTCATTTAGTCGTGTCTGACTCTTCGTGACCCCATGGACCAGAGCACGCCAGGCACCTCTGTCCTCCACTACCTCCCGCAGTTTGGTCAAACTCATGCTGGTAACCTCGAAAACACTATCCAACCATCTCGTCCTCTGTCGCCCCCTTCTCCTTGTGCCCTCCATCTTTCCCAGCATCAGTGTCTTCTCCAGGGAGTCTTCTCTTCTCATGAGGTGGCCAAAGTAGTGGAGCCTCAGCTTCACGATCCAGTGAGCACTCAGGGCTGATTTCCTTAAGAATGGATGCGTTTGATCTTCTTGCAGTCCATGGGACTCTCAAGAGTCTTCTCCAGCACCATAATTCAAAAGAAATCTGGTTAGCTTCCTCCAACTCAATGAGTTTAATTTTTAAAGAAACCACGTATCTTATCCCACTTATCTCATCCTACCTTTATACACCATTGTTTCATAAGAATTTGGACAATTTGATAAGAGTAGAGGAGGCAAAATGTGCTTCCCTTGGAGGGAGTGTAGGCTTCCAAAAGCAAAAACAGGAGACTTCATTTTCAACCTACTAGGTGTGAAGAACAAGCAACTCTTGATACATGTACTGGAAAGAATGTGCAGCAAACAGTTGAGAGGAGCCTGGTGTTCTCAAGTCAGGGGGTATTTGCAGTTGCTGCCGTCGGGAAAGCGAAAGAAGAAGCTTCGCGTGAATGAAAGGAAGGTGACAGAGAGCCATATGCACACTTAATGGTTCTCCTGCAGCAATTCCTAGCATGGCTGACTTGTATCAGCCATCCAGCCTCCCCTGAATAAGCCACACTACAGAACTCCTTGTTAGAGGAAAAATCCATGATCATCATCATCAAGCTCTCGTGGCTTCTTGTTGGTCAGACAGATGATGGGACAGAGTGTGGACCTTTTCATTGACCCAGTTAAGTACACACACTGCTCTTGTGCACACAAACCTGGCAACTGGTTCTCATATTTACATTCAAAAGTATTGGTTAAAATAAAATAAAATAACTGATTTTCCCCCCATACCTTGTAAGCAGCACCTCCGTGGATGATGGATTTGATGAAGATCCCCAGGTCAGCCCCAGTCTCTCGAGATTTGTTGCCCTTTAAGCTCACACCAAGTCCGGCCGAACCCGAGTCATTCAGAGGGATCTCAAAGGTCAATTGCTCTGTGGTGTCAAGCGAAAGAGCGCTGCAGTAGGGTTCTCCTTTCTGTTAGAACAAAGAAGCAGAACATCTGCATAAACAGACAGGAGTTAAATAAATGCCTACTTCTCAGGTGCCCTGATTTGCATTTCGCATGTCAATGATTTGAGAGGCATACACTGAGGGAAAGGAGGCATATTATTTGATTCTCTTTTTTTAAAACATGGTCAATTGCAAATCATCATGAAAGAGATGCGCCCCCCCAAAAAAAATTGGATCAGAGGTTATTTATATTACAATACAAATATAATTAAAATTCTCCAAGTTTCCATAAGCAAAAGTGATATACAGAGAAATATGGGTGGGTGGAAGCCAAGGTATAATAATAATAATAATAATAATAATAATAATAATAATAATAATAATAATAATAATAATAATTTATTATTTATACCCTGCCCATCTGGCTGGGTTTCCTCAGCCACTCTGGGCGGCTTCCAACAAAGTATTAAAATACAGTAATCCATCAAACATTAAAAGCTTCCCTAAACAGGGCTGCCTTCAGATGTCTTCTAAAAGTCTGGTAGTTGTTCTTCTCTTTGAAATCTGGTGGGAGGGCCTTCCATAGGGTGGGTGCCACTACCTAGAAGGCCCTCTGCCTGGTTCCCTGTAACTTGGCTTCTCACAGTAAGGGAACTGCCAGAAGGCCCTCAGCGCTAGACCTCAGTAGAACGATGGGAGTGGAGACGCTCCTTCAAGTATACTGGACTGAGGCCGTTTAGGGCTTTAAAGGTCAGCACCAACACTTTGAATTGTGCTTGGAAATGTACTGGGAGCCAATGTAGGTCTTTCAAGACCAGTGTTATGCGGTCTCAGTGGCCGCTCCCAGTCTAGCTGCCGCATTCTGGATTAGTTGTAGTTTCCGGGTCACCTTCAAAGGTAGCCCCACGTACAGCACATTGCAGTAGTCCAAGCGGGATATAACTAGAGCATGCACCACTCTGGCGAGACAGTCCGTGGGCAGATAGGGTCTTAGCCTGCGTACCAGATGCAGCTGATAAACAGCTGCCCTGGACACAGAATTGACCTGCGCCTCCATGGACAGTTGTGAGTTCAAAATGACTCCCAGGCTGCGCACCTGGTCCTTCAGGGGCACAGTTAACCCATTCAGGACCAGGGAGTCCTCCACACCTGCCCACCTCCTGTCCGCCAAAAACAGTACTTCTGTCTTGTCAGGATTCAACCTCAATCTGTTAGCCGCCATCCATCCTCCAACCGCCTCCAGACCTTCACCACCTTCAGTGGTTCTGATTTGAAAGATAGGTAAAGCTGGGAATCATCCACACATTGATGAACACCCAACCCAAACCCCCTGATGATCTCTCCCAGGAGCTGCATGTAGATGTTAAAAAGCATGGGGGAGAGGACAGAACCCCGAGGCACCCCACAAGTGAGAGCCCAGGGGTCTGAACACTCATCCCCTACCACCACTTTCTGAACATGTCCCAGGAGGAAGGAGCGGAACCACTGTATAACAGTGCCCCCAGCTCCCAGCCCCTCAAGACGTCCAGAAGGATGTTATGTTCTATGGTAAAAGGTAAAGGGACCCCTGACCATTAGGGCCAGTCGTGGCCGACTCTGGTGTTGCGGCGCTCATCTCGCTTTATTGGCCGAGGGAGCCGGCGTACAGCTTCTGGGTCATGTGGCCAGCATGACTAAGCCGCTTCTGGCGAAATAGAGCAGCGCACGGAAACACCGTTTACCTTCCCGCCAGAGCGGGTCCCTATTTATCTACTTGCACTTTAATGTGCTTTCGAACTGCTAGGTTGGCAGGAGCAGGGACCGAGCAACAGGAGCTCACCCCGTCGCGGGGATTCGAACCGTCGACCTTCTGATCAGCAAGCCCTAGGCTCTGTGGTTTAACCCACAGTGCCACCTCTGTGGTAGAGATCCCCTAATCCAGTCCCCAAAGGAACACCCACTTTTTCATCCCACCAATGTTATTCACTGCACTGCTTCTTCCATGGTTTTGTTTTGGTTTTTTACTACTGCTCTTTCAGTTTCTTCGTAGTCAGACTCACTCATTGAGCCCAGAAAACCAGGAAGATACAAGCAGCATGCCACCACAACATGACTTTTCCACCCCATCCCTTCCTGTCATTCCCGCATCACTCTGCTCAGGTGAAAGTTGCAAAGTTATAAAGCAGGTTACACATCTGATTGGAAGCCCTGGTGGTCTTATCGCCAATGTGAGGACCTTGAAATCAACTGGCAACTAATGTAATGTAATAAAATGAGGAGGAGTTTGGATTTGATATCCCGCTTTATCACTACCCGAAGGAGTCTCAAAGCGGCTAACATTCTCCTTTCCCTTCCTCCCTCACAACAAACACTCTGTGAGGTGAGTGGGGCTGAGAGACTTCAAAGAAGTGTGACTGGCCCAAGGTCACCCAGCAGCTGCATGTGGAGGAGCGGAGACGCGAACCCGGTTCCCCAGATTACGAATCTACCACTCTTAACCACTACACCACACTGGCTCTCAGTTTAGCTTATGTGATGCTGCCACAAGGAGAGTTCAGAGGTTAGCACAGCAGTTCCTGTCCCCACGCTAAATGGGAAAAAGACGTTCACCTCTATTTGAAACAAAATAACCAACAGGACTTGCCGATCAGAAGGTCGCGGTTCGAATCCCCGCGACGGGGTGAGCTCCCGTTGCTCAGTCCCTGCTCCTGCCAACCTAGCAGTTCGAAAGCATGTCAAAGTACAAGTAGATAAATAGGTACTGCTCCGGCGGGAAGGTAAATGGCGTTTCCATGCGCTGCTCTGGTTCACCAGAAGCGGCTTAGTCATGCTGGCCACATGACCCGGAAGCTGTACGCCGGCTCCCTCAGCCAGTAAAGCGAGATGAGCATCGCAACACGACTGGACCTAATGGTCAGGGGTCCCTTTACCTTTACCTTTTTAACCAACAGAACAACTTGTTCTTCATTCAAACATGAACACTTCTGCACATAATCTTTGACTTGGTCCTAGTCAAAAGTGACAATCAGGATGCTCCCCCAAAATCTCTTTTGTGGACCACCATTGAAATTGATGAACTATGAAAGAAAGTAGTTTCCACCCCGAAAACCCTTGATCAGGTGCTCCCACGATGCAATTAAAACCTACTATTTTTAGTCCTGTGGAAAACTAAAATAAATAATACACTTTTAATCTGGAAGCCTCCATATGGGGGAGGGGGGAGATATGCAAGGTCTACTGAACCTCAATTCCAATAAGTATCAAGAGCAAATATTTAATATATTTAATCATATGACAAAGTTAATGCATTTCATTTAATTGGAAAACATAAAAGTGGCCTGATGTTGACATTAATAATTTTTGTCTGATCTAGCTATCCATTTCCCTTGTTCTTTGTTAACTTTTCTGATATATATTTTTAAATAAAAATAAAAGATGCTCATGCGCAAGTCTGAGTCCTTCAGACCAGAACTGTCCAACTAGTACTATTGGAAAATGAATGTTACTTTGCAATCACTGAGTCATAAAGGCTCCCACTTTCAAGAAATAATAATAATAATAATCTCGTAAAGGAAATGTTTTTGGGTTTCTGACATTATGATTTTGAAAAACTAACTCAGCTCTAGATCACTGCAGTTACAAGTAGTTTGGTACAAATAAAAACACAAGGCCAAATGGAAATCTGTTGAAAAGTAAATCAGAAAACACACATGCACTGTGGTTAGATCAGAGCCAACTGCTCATCATTCTTCCCAGCTATAAAACCACCTTTAGATAGTTTACTGTTCTGAAGTTGACAGAACTGGGTCCATTTTTATTAGACCGTATAAATATTCTGTATGTGGGCTGTGTCTAGCACTACCTAGGTTTGAGCAGAGCAGACTTACACCTTCCTCTCCTTCGCACTTTAGCCTTCTGTGCACCCTCAAAATCTGCTTGGGATAGCTGAGGATTTAATCTCTCCCTCTCTTCTTTCTTCATAACAGACTATCCTTCCCTTGGCCTTCTTTCCAATTCACTCTTTTTTAGCCATCTAGCAGCCACATCTTCCAACTCTCCCACCTCTATCCAATTTATTTATAACATGTCTCAAGACAAGGACTGGGATGCAAATTCCTTCTTTCACATCTTACGCAAAGCCACGGAGGCTTCTTCCTTTTGAAAAGCAGAATACATGACACGCAATATCACAAACTGTTTTGCAAAGTTCTTTCCACTCAGCTATGGCATGCATGTGGCATGCTACTCAAGTAAAGGTAAAGGACCCCTGGACGGTTAAGTCCAGTCAAAATTGACTGTGGGGTACAGCACTCATCTCGCTTCAAACCAAGGGAGCCAGCGTTTGTCCACAGACAGCTTTCTAAGCCATGTGGCCAGCATGACTAAACTGCTTCTGGTGCAATGGGACACAGTTGCGAGTGCCAGAGCGCACAGAAACACCATTTACCGTCCTGCCACAGCAGTACCTATTTGTCTACTCGCGCTGGTATGCTTTTGAACTGCTAGGTTGGCAGGAGCTGGGACAGAGCAACGGGAGCTCAAGCCATCATGGGAATTCGAATCGCTGACCTTCTGATCGGCAAACCCAAGAGGCTCAGTGGTTTAGACCACAGCGCCACTCGCGTCCCTGATGTGTTAGTATTATGTAGAACTGAACATGCACTTGAACAGCAGTGTTACCATAAGGCAGGTTGAATTTTGAAAACCTCTGGCACTGATGTGCGGATTCAAACTGCCAACCTTACGATCGTCAAGCCCAAGAGGCTTGGTGGTTTAGACCACAGTACCATGTCCAAGCACCCTTGGTATCTTTAGATCCTGGCCAGGAGATAATAACACAGATTTATCTATTTGGTGGATTTTTAAATATTCCACTCCCCCCCCAACAGTTTCGAGGCAATGTTCAAAATTAATACGTTAATAAAAGCACAACGTGATAAAATAAATGCAGCTGAAAACATGCATGAGCTAAACAGATCAGATATTGAAACAGCACCAGATAAGGCTGAGATACATGGAGAAGTGTGAAGGAGTTGTAAGGGATC